TATTTGGCTGGCCCCTTCTATTGTTTTGCTTTAGTTGCTGTTTAATTTTTCTCTCTCTTCTTATCTCCCTACTCTTTTTCTTTAGTTCTAGCATCTGTAGCTAGAGCCACAGGTGTGAAAAATAGGTGGAAAATATCTTTGGAAAATAAAGTAATGACCTATTGCTGGAAGGAACAATCTAACTAAAAAGGTCTTCATGTCAACTGCAATCCAGCTCACTACTTGACCTTTAATCTCAGTTCATGCACGCATGCGTGTGTGTGACACACACACACAACATGGGACAGCAAGGAAACAAAAGACCCCCCAAAAAACATGAATGATAAATTTACCAAAGATGAAGACTATAGAAAGACATCACACAGAAATACTACATATAAAAAATTACAGAAATTCATAAATTTTAGAAATAGCCAACAAGGGTCATTCAAGAGATACCAATTATAGCAATGCTGAGATCCCAGCTCATCCCAATTACTGTGTTGCTATTGGTGACAAGTCTGTGATGTGTAAAGAGAAAGGAAAGAAAGAGACGGAGGGTGGGGGGAGTGTAAGTCTGAAGGAGGAGAGATGTGTAGGGGAAATAACAATAGGTTAAAAACTCAGGTCTGAGGTTAGATTCTGTTAAAGTTCTTTTATGATCAGAATAAAGGGTTAATGATTAGGGGTTTTTAAGAAAATAGAAAATAGTAACAAAAAGCATTGGAAATTATACAGAATTTCATTAAACAAAGTAATAGGAATTCAACCATGGTTTCTGTTTTACATGATGTTACCTTTAGATTAGTTGTTTAGGTTACTGGATATAAACCTACAAAACTGGTTTAAAAAAGAAACTAAACAACAGCAACAAAAATGTTATAAGAAATTAAAAAGCAAAAAAAAAAAAAAAAAGGAAAACAATATTAAGCATTAACTACTCCTTTCATATAAGACCAGCAGAAATGGGTGGTGTAGTTGTCCAAACTATCCTGCATATGTACCTCAATATATCTTTTCCCCTTCTTTCTTTTGTCCTTTTCATCATTATATCTTTTCCTTCCCATGAACAAATTCTCTCACAGTATCTATAGTGTGAGAACCGGTGAGAGTGAATAAAATGTTGAGGGTTTTAAGAACGTATTTATGGCAGTGGGAGTGGGAAGGAGGAGCAAAGAGGTATGATTATGGATTAAGAATGGTGTGAGGTTGTCAGAACCTGATGATTTATTTTTCCCCTAGAAAATGGAGAAGAGGGCCGGCAAGACAGCTCATCGGTCTAAAACGCCTGTGTAGGCGGGCTTAGGCAGGTGCAGGGTCCAGCCAAAAAAAAAAAAAGAAAGAAAGAAAGAAAGAAAGAAAGAAAGAAAGAAAGAAAGAAAGAAAGAAAGAAAGAGAAAGAAAGAAAGGAAGGAAGGAAGGAAGGAAGGAAGGAAGGAAGGAAGAAAGGAAGGAAGGAGAAGACAAGAGGCCAGGTGAAATAAGGAAAAGCGAAAAGGATAGAATGGGACAGAAGTTTAATAGGAAATAAGATGGGAAGGTGTGAGAGTAAAATACAGAGAAAAAGCAAACTTGAAAGGAAATATTTAAGAACTTGGAGAAACAGGGAAACAGGAAGAAATACTGTTGCCACAGATGCTAAAGCTAAAGAAAATGAGTAGGGAGACAAGAAGAGAGAGGGAACACAAGCAACAACTAAGTCAAAACTATCTGGCTCCTGCATTTTAACAAGAGAACATACGGGTAATTTTTTAGGACTGCAAAGCTCAGTCGTCTACGCAGTTCCCTTCTCGCCTTGGTCTCAGGCTACAGGCTACACGCAGACCCCGCGGTGCGTGCACACTGGGCAAGTCCTGTCGCAAGCTCGCGTGCAGGGCGGGCTCTGCCTGCGTCACCTCTGACTCAGTGTGCAGGCAGAAGCGCAGGGCAGGGGCCAGGCGGGCTGGGTGTGCTCACCAGTGATCCGGTGGGCGGGCTCATGATCTGGGCTGACTCAGGGTGGAATCACACGAAGGTGCCAGCTGCCTGCTCATCTCCCTGCAGCCAGGGTGAGGGGAAGGGGCAGGCTCCCCTGCCTGGAGTGAGAGGTGGTGAAGCACATCCCCCCCTTTCACAATACTCAAAACGGATATGCCCAGACGAGTGGGGTTGGGGGTCGGGCTGGGATGGGGTAGTCAGACCAGCTGTGGCAGTATGGCTTCCCCCTTCCACCTGTTCTGCCGTTTAGTTTGAGCTCTCTACATATTGTCTGGCCTATTAATTTTTTAGGTCAGGGTCAAAGTCCCTCCCCACTGCAGAATACCTTCCTTCTCAGTGAATCCTCTCTGAGTATCTCTGACAGTACTCCTCCTCTGGTCAGCCACGTTAGATCTCCTTTCTTTCATCTTGTAAAATCAATGGAGAAAGCCAATGAAGGTCAACCTAGGCTGCCCTACTTAGCATGTCTGAAGGGGTTCCATCAACAGTATCAAAAAGTATCAAAAAAGACCAATGTGAAGACATCTATATAAGTGAGTTACCAAAAAATAGGAGAAGAGAAAAAGTAAAGAGAGAAGATAAAAAATGGGGTTCTGTTCTTGAGGAGCTCCTAGATGAAGACAGTTCCACCTCTTAGTGCCTCCTGTCCTTGACAGGACCAAGAGAAACTGGGACTGAGAGCTGGTAGTTTGCGGAAAGAGATAGAAACTGATGTGGATGGACTGATGGAACATAGATCCTGAGGATGCTTCTAAGTGGGACATCCCAGGGTGGCCTGCTCTTTCCCTTGTCTGAAAGCACCCTTCCTATGTGGCCAGAGACTGGCACACAGAGTGGGCCCTCTGGGTTGGCAGGAGGGGCCAGCCTAGGACAGGGGAGATGGGGCCCAACCAGCGCTCTGTGTGATATGTTGGCTTTGCTCTTTCACTTTAGGCTCATTTCTGGCAATTTCCAGTTTTGTGCCCTGCTCCTCCCGCAATGGCTAAGCTACTCAGTCTGTAGGAGGTGAGTCCACAGGCTCTGTAGGCTTCTGAGGCACCAACCTGGACCTGCTCCAGGGGAACCTCACCTGGATCTCAGGTAAGGAGGTTCCCAGTGGCTCCAGCCCTGCCTTTGGTGACTCAGTTAGGAGAAACTGCCAGTGGGTGCGACATACACGGGAGCTTCATGGTTGTACACATTCTCGCCCCATCCCAGCCTGTAGAACTGGCCACTTCCTACTCCCCCACCCCATCTTACCCTCCACCCAACTCTACCTTGGCTCTGGAAGATGCCACTGGATGAAGCAAGGGTGTCTGGATGGATGAAAAAATCCGGTTGTAATTGGAGGTCTAGCTCTGCTCAGAGCCTGGAGGCTCTTCTGTGTAATACCACCATGTCTTCTGTGCCAGACAAGACCTTCATGGATCTTTTAGGTCACCTAAAGTCACCCCATCTCAGAGTGTGTAGCATGGTGCTGTATTGTGGCACAGCGTTTGGTTGCTGATGTCTTTCCTGAAGTTTCCATTCTTTTCAGGCAGCCCATTGATGCTTCACACAAACAGCCCCCTGAAAGGAAGATACCCTGGTCTCTAGAATGAACCTCTATTCCCATATTGCTTGAAGCTATAAATCTGACACTGTTCACTTTTGCACATCAGGGAGTGGGGTTGGTCTGCGTGGAATTGGCCTGCCAGTGTATACCCATATCAGGTCCATCTCTTACTCGTTTTCTGACTTTGGATGAGTTAATCTCTTTAGCCTTCATTTATCTCATCAGTTAAATGAGAATAAAAAATAGCACTTCCTTTATAGGACTGATGTGATGTGAGATGAAGTGAGAGTTGTGCTTCTTTGAAACAGTGAGTGTGGGGTGAAAGTTAACCTGTCTTATGGGAAGTGGAAGACCCTGCACCACAGGCTGTGGTCATTCGACCAGGCTGACAGTGGCACTTGTGGGAGTTTTCCACTCTGGGTAGAAAAGTCATGTTGGGATTCTTGCCCAAGCACTTGGTCTCAGAACCAGATCCAGATTTAGATTTTGTGTTCTCAGTGTCCACTTTATACACACACCTGGGAGAAGTATAAGAGAGATGGAGAAAATCGAGGGCTGGGAATAGGTGATCAGGAGTTGTGCTGTGCCCTTCTCAGCCTCTAACTCATCCAGTCTTCACAATACCTAATGACAAGGACATTACTGTGCACTTTATAGAGAAATAGAAATGAGATGGGATGAATCACTGGGCCAAAAAGATGAAGCAGATTTCTCAAGGTCATGAAAATGCTGTTGTGATGATTGTGGTGGTGATTGTGGTGGTGACAGTGATGATGCTTGGTGATGATGCTTGTAGTGATGGTGATGGTGATGGTGATGGTGATGGTGATGGTGATGGTGATGTTGATGATTGTGGTGGTGAACATGGTGGTGGTGATGGTGAAACTGATGACTGGTGGTGATCGTGGTGGTGACAGTGAGGTTGATGATGGTGGTAGTGATGCTTGTAATGATGGTGATGGTGATGGTGAGGTTGATGATTGTGGTGGTGGGCATAGTGGAGGTGACGGTGAAACTGATGACTGGTGGTGATCATGGTGGTGGTGGAGAGAGTGCGGTTGACGATTGTGGTGGTGATGCTTGTAGTGACGGCAATGGTGATGATGAGGTTGATGACTGTGGTGGTGAGCATGGTGGTGATGATGGTGACAGTGAGGTTGATGATTGCGGTGGTGATGCTTGTAGTGGTGGTGACGGTGATGGTAAGGTTGATGATGGTGATGGTGGTGGTGACAGTGAGGTTGGCGACTGTGGTGGTGAGCATGGTGGTGGTGATGATGGTGATACAGCGGACATGTAACCATCATGAAAAGTTACACAGTATTCTGAAAACTTCAAATTATATCAACTCATTTAATCTTAATAACAACAGTAAGTTTTTTAAAATCCTATTTTACAAGTGAAAACTCAAAACACGAATAGGTTAAATAATTTGATCAATGACATGTATCAGTAAGCAACAGATTTATGACCTGGCCCAAGACAGTCTTAATCAGAATTCAGCAAACTTGGTATGTAGTAAACATTATAGACTTTATGCAAACTCTGTCAAAAAAAAATTCATTTTAGCCATTGCAGTGCAAAATCAGCCATAGAAAATCTATCAACAAATGAACATGGCTATGCTTGATCTATAAGGCAAACAGTGGAGCAGTCTTGGCTGACTGTATAGTAGTTCCATGGATGGTTCTTACTTCTCAGATATGTTATGAGACAAACATCATCTTAACTATATGGTCAAGAGAACAAGGATTCACATTTATCAACACGTTCTGAGAAAAAATAATAATCATAAGCAGAATATTAGAAAATTTCTTGGCATTTTAAAATGTGAAAACAGCATATAATTTATTCAGTGTTGGTGCATCATGTTTTTATGGAAGACATTCTGTGTACTAGGGTCACCCTACATATTTGGCATGTACCATTCAACACGATGAGCAGGAAGAACCTTTCTTATGTGAACTTACCTTCTGACATTGGGTGAGGAACAGAAAAATTAAGAATCAATATGTGGATGGACTAAACAATATGGTAAGTGGTGGAATGTACCACAGAAAGAAATGAATCATGGTAAGGAAAATGTGAGAGCAGGATGGGGAATGATAAAATGGTAAACATGGGCTTCGTTGGTTGAGTGGTAGTATAGTAAAGGCTTAAAAGAGGTAAGAAGGTGAACCATGCTGGTCTAATGGTAGAGCGATTCCCAGGCAGGGAGAGCGGCTGGTACAGAGGCTTAGAAGTAGTGCTATGCTTGGATTGCTCAAGGAAGAGCACAAGGTCTACGTGGGTCCTACTCTCATGAGTGTGGGAGGTGGGCGCCAAGATGGTGGAGGACCTTGGAATCACAGTGAAGACCTGCCTCTTACTCACAAAGGTCTGAGGATCCAAAGAGTGACAACTCTGACTCTGTTCTATCTTGCAGTCAGTAGCTTTGGACTTAAGTTTTCTGGATTCAGATCTGACACTAATGCTGATTACTGTCAAGTGCTGGAGAGTATGGTGAATCATTTTATGCTTGATTTCCACATCTGTAAAATAGATAATACCATTTACTTTATAGGTATCTCTATAAACAGAAAACAAAAGAATTAGGAAGAAATACTAGACATAATTTCAGGGACATACTGAGCACTAACTGAATGTTGATTATCTTAATCATTATAAAATCTATCTCCTTAACAATAATGTACTGCCATACTACAGTCAACTGTTTATGCTTACATAGACAAAGTGATTACACTTGCTATGTTTCTATCTCTGCCTATTCCAGGGGCCCGAGAATTCCTCCAAAGTTGATGCTGAGTCACCACAAGGGATATTGTCCCACTGCATGTTGTGACATTTTTTGAAGCATACAAAGCCCACAAAAAACTGATACGTTTGCTAAGAAAGAAAACCCAGAGAAGAGTGTAGGAAAAATGAGAAAACAGAGGTAATTGAAACTGCCAATAATGATGGCAAGGCATCGTGACTGCTAGTATGCTTAAGAGCTGGGAAGGCTAATCTTGATTGACAACTTGATTGGCTTGGACTCAGCCTGGGTGATCAGCAAAGCACAGTTTGGGGTGTGTCTTGGTTGTCATAGAGACACAGCTTTGGGGACCCTCTCCAGTCCTTCACCCCTTCCTTTCTTTTTCTTTTTTCAAATTCATTTAGTATTTTTATTTTTATTTTGAGAAACAAATAGTAATGAGACAGTTTCAAAACTGATTAATAGGACGGTTTCAATAATTAATACATTGTACATTGTTATGTTCTTAGTGGTTATCCATAGTACAAGAAGCAGACAGGATATCCTGTCCAAACACTATTAGTAAATATCTTTCTTCTCCCTTGTTCTCTGCTTCACAGCCCCTGTGAAGTGCGCAGTTTTGCCCCACCACATCCTTCTACCATGCTGTTTCTGCCTGGGAGCCAGAAAACCATCAATGAAACCTTGAAAATCATGGCCAAAACAATCTTTTTTTTTTTCTTTTAAATTGTTTAGTCAGGCATTTTGTCCCAGAATGGGAAGCCAGCCCCCCACCAACCTGCTACTTAAAGCAAGAAAAATCTATTATCATATGCAGGTTCTAGAAATCAGAAACCAGAAGGCTGGCTTCACAGAGTTCTGATGAGGTTGAGGTAAGATCTCAGCAAGGCTGCTGTCATCCGAAGGCTGAAAGAGAAGCGGAGGACGTCGGCTTGGCATGTGGGGGTTGCTCCCCCTTAGGGTGCTGGTCGGAGGCCTCCATTTCTCGCTGCCTGCCCATCTCTTTAGGGCCTCTTGAGTATATTTATCACGGGGAATTTGGCTTCCCTCAGGTGAATGATCCAGCAAAGAATAAAGATGTACCTGCAGTGCCTTCAGCAACCCTCAGAAGGGACCCACTGTGGTGTTCCACCATGCAACATTCATTAGAAGGCAGTCACTAGATACAGTTCACACTTCTGGGCAGAGGACGAAGGCCCCGCTTCTTGTGGTATGGAGCATCAAAGCATTTGTGAGTTTATTTTAAATGCACCGCATATTGTATGTGAATTTGGAGTGCAATTCCAAAAAGGAGCATTGTTCTTAGGTAATACTAATGTTTAATTTTTTGAAGTTCAATATTTGGCCCTCATACAAACATGTAATAAGCAGCAATTAAAGGTTTACTATTTTGAAGTGAGAGAATCAGAAATATGATAAAGGTGATTATCAAAAGTTGACTAAAGGGGCCAGCCAAATAGTGCAGTGGATTAAAGCACCTGCAAGCAGGCTCAAGGATCAGGGGTTCAATCCCTGGACTTGTCGTGCCTGCCCTGCCCCCAGGGTATGCTGAAACAGCAATTGAGATTGGGTGTGGTGGTGCACACCTGTAATCCCAGCTCTTGGGAGGCTGTAAACAGGCAGATCACTATGAGTCCGATCCGATAGTGAGACCCTGACCACCCTGTAGACCCTTCCCTAAAATATAAAAAAAAAAA